AAAGACTTAGGCCAAGATATATAGAGATTTCCAAAGAAGGCTGGGCTCATAAATGTTACAAGAATCTTCCCCAAGAGACAACAAAGTCTTCCACTATAGCTGACACTCTAGATTCAGACTTTTAGTTTCTTAAAGTGTGAAAAAAAATGATTGTTTAAACCACCCATTTATGATATTTCTTAATAGCAGCACTAGATAGCTAAGGAACTATGTAATTACCAAACATGGTAAATTAATATTCTGAGTTATTGTACATTTGATGCCATTTGTGTGTAATCCATCTATGAAAGGACTGATTCACTCTTACAGAAAGAACTTCACCTTGGCTTCTACTTTAATACCATCTCCATAAGGAATTCTCCATCATCTGGTCAAACCTCACTTCTTCCCATCCTGTTGCCTTGCTTTATTTATCTTTATAGTAATACTTCTACCTGGAAAATTCTACTACATACTTATTTATGTCTGTCTCACTATAAAACCTGGACCTTTATCTTGTTCACTACAGTTATCTCAAGCATATAAAACTTAGGCACTTGAAAATATTTTAAATAATTTTAAATACTGGAGTTAAATTAGTACAATCAAGTTAAAACCATGAATATTAGATGTGCTAGAAACGACAACTTATTGCCCTAATAGCCTTTCCACTTAGTCCAGTTAAGCACGTAAAAGAAGGTATTAAAGAACGTTGATTGATGAAGTAATTCACATTTCTTGAGAATTAGAAAACCTTATCCCAAAAATGTTTTAGGTTTGTTGCCAATGTACTCAACTGATGGCACTTAACAGCCACACCCTAAAAACCAAACTACCGAATTTATTAATTTTGTTGTTATAGTTTAACTCATTACTGGGGGTTTACTAAATACATTAAAGCGTATGTATGTAAAAGAACAAATCAACCATTAAGAAATGATGTGATGTGAGTATATTGACTCAAAAGATTACTGGCAGGGAAAGAAAGGAAAGAAATGATTCTTCTAATTTCATACAAAGCCATTATCTATGCACATATATGATGTTCTTATTAGGTGCCATCGACTCTGACTCATAGCATTTCTGTGAACAGCAGATCTAAACCTTGTCCTATCTTCACACCTCTCACATATTTGAGCCCACGGCTATAGACACTGTCAATTCATCTGGTTTAAGGTTTTCTCATTCATTCTCTTCCATTTCCAAGTATGATATCCCTCTCCAATTAAGTCTCTCCTAGCAATACGACGAAAGCGAGACTAAATTTTATCATCGTTGCCTCCAAGAAGCACTCTGGCCGCACTTTCAAGATATACTTGTTCATTCTTTTGGCAGTCTATGGGCTATTCAGCACTCTTTTTTCAATAACATAACTCAAAGGCATCTATTCTTCTGTTACCCTTATTCACTGTTCAGCTGTCAGCTGCACAGCAAGTGTTTGAAAATAAGGTGCACCTCAGGCTTCAAACTGACTTCACTGGTCATCAATAATTTGGACAGCTTACTGACTAATGTGATACTGGTTTTTCTCTGTAATTTTCTTAATCACTAAAATTCTTAGGTAAAAACAAAAATGTGTTTCAGACAATTGTGCTAATGTATGACAGTGGTTTTGTACTCAGCATCCATTCCAGACCCCTCCCTCCGTAGTATGCCTCCCATTGCGGCAAAGTTTTTAGAAAACTAAAAATTGGCTTTATCCTGGCAACGCTATATACAATAGATTAAAGCCCTGATTCTGTGTCTCTTCACCATCACTGCTGTACTTAAGTCCATTGCTGTAATCATTGCTTCAACCCATCCTACTGAGGGTCGTTTTCTTTCAGTGGCCCCCTACTTTTCTTAAGCCTTTACCAAAGACTAGCCCCTCCTCATAACACGCCCAAAATATGTAGAAGTCTTACTACCCTTGCTCCTAAAGAGCACTGTGGCTGCACTTCTAACAGATTCCTCCCCACCGCCTCCACCCTTTTTGCATTCCATAGTATGTACATTCAATATTCAGTGCAGTGGCTTCAGCAGAACTTTTAGACCAAGAAGCAAAACTGCGATGATTTCTGAAAGAGTAGTTAAGTACCATCAAGTTGGAATCAACTCATATCTCACCCTCCAGTGGGTCCTCAAAAGGAGATGGATGGCCCATTTTTCTCCCATTAAGCAGGTAGCAGAATGTAACCACCTGCCTTTAGGCTGGCAGTGCAACTCCTTACCAGTAAGACAAAAAAGCTCTCTTTTTGAAATAATAGGCCCTTAAAACACCAATGAACAGCAAAAAACCAAAATCATTAAATACATTGAAATGTTAATGCTGTCATCTTGGTCATTTATTAAAATGTTTTTAACTTATTCATTTTCTCTTTTTTTTTTTTTTTTAAGAAAGAAACTCTAAGAGTCTTACCCTCCCCCAAATAAAATCCTCCTACTGGAAAGAAAACAATCATTTCTGAATACATTCAGAATGTTGCAAGCAAATATGAAAACTAGAGGCATCAATGCGTTAATTTTTATCTAACACAATATACACAGGAGTACACACCACTCCCTCAAACAGAGCATCCCAAGTATCCATGGTTTAAGCTCCCACAACAAAATGTTTATTCTAATAGCACAGTCAAGTTGGCTGCAATCAGCTTGTAAAAAGGCAACGATTGTGGAAACTAAACATATGAGGTGAGACTAGCCAGTGCGTCAGCTGTTGGCAAGCTTTAGTTGTTTATAATGGTACAAGTGTATCCTTTAGAACTGAGGCATGAAACAGAATGAAAATATCTTCACCTACCATCATTGAGATTTTAGGAAAGGAAAAGTGAAATAAAGGAGACTTCAAATTTTTTATTTTAATCTTTCCACATATTATTCTGTTTAGAGTTGCTTTTTAGTCCTTTATTTTCTACCCACCAGCTTTGAGTTGAGATCTATTCAAGAGTCAGTAACAACTTTCATATCTTACTTTTAAACTGGCAATATGTCAGACCCAGACAAGGATGTCATTTTCAGTTCACGAGCAATGTATCACAATGCATTTGCAATCCTCAAAGCAGCTGGGGATAAACTATAAACTATGGAAATATCAAGAATTATTAAAATTGTATGCACAAGAAAAAACTATATCCTTATTAGGGCACTATGGAAGCCTAATGGGAACGAACTGCACTGCCAACCCAAAGACAACATGCCTCAAATCCACAAGTTTCTCTGAGGTAGAAAGATGGGCAATCTCCTCCCCTGCAATTTACTGCCTCTGAAAACCTTCTGGAGGGTCAGCTATTCGTCAGATCCAAATCAACGGTACATAACTAACCTTTATTATCACAATTGATTTAATAAGCTATTTCTAAAATATCAAGCTGTGATATTTTTCTTTTACCAGCAGTGTCCATCAAACAGTAGGCTCTTCATTTTGAAGTACTCTAGATCTTTTCTTTCATAGTTAATGCTTTTTCTGACCTAAGAAATCTTTCCCTACCTCCAATGCACAAAGATACTCTCCAGTATTTTCCTTCAAGAAGTTTTATAATTTCACTACATTTAGGTCCATGATCCAACTCAAATCTTTTCTATACATAATAAGGGGTTTTTCTCCCTTCCCCCACCCCAATATGGGTATTGAATTGACTTCATTTGTCCCACTTTTCTCCCTTGTAGAAGTTGCCACACTGAAAATCAAGTTAACTGTACTTGATTAGATTAACTTCTGAGCTCGTACATTAACCATATTAAGGCTCTTCCTTCCAGCCCATTGCTTTGCTTACTGATACTTATGCTAGCCCATGGAGTCTTAAATGCTAGATACTACTTACTCTTACTCCTTGAACTGCATAACAAAATGTAAACTTCTGTAAAAGAAGACATACAAATCACAACAAGTTAAAGGATCAAAGTGCAATTCTCATGAAACTATCTTTTAAAATTTATATCAGAACTTTGAAAAGACTCCACAACTACTACTGAAAGTAGAGCAAAATAACATTCCAAGCATCTGAAAAAAAAAGGGGGGGGGAGAGAAATTCTCCATTATTTGCAGCTGAAATTCAGTAAATAGGGAAAACATGTCACTAATTTTCCACTCAACTTCCAAATAGATTCTTTTCATATTAGTTCTAAGTTACCATCACCACAATATATTAAGTTTTAAAAGAACCCTTTAAAAATTCTTGTTTCGAGGCTGGAAGATGAGGAAATGTCTAACTTTTTCCCAAATGTTAAAAACTCATGGGGCTAGTGCAGGAAAAAAGTGATAATTTCCTTTATGTAAAGAAGTTTCAGAAAATTTCCCTTAAGGTTTGATTTGGAAAAGAATATTAGTACTAATAAAAAAATACTGTTTGGTTTTGTTTTTGTTCTGTTTTTAATAAAAGGCAGGCAACTCCTTAAGACACTAATAAACATCAGTGTGAGAAAATTGTACACTACTCTGGGGAAATGACAGGTTGTGCTAATTGTATTTAAATTGAGATAGAATGAGACCCTCCTCCTTTTACAAAGCAAACTGTATGGACAGTCGAACCTCCAAACAACTTTCCACAAAGATGCTGCTTTAACAGCTTGAAAAATATTGCAAAACTAAGAATTATACTAAACTCTTTTAGATTTGTATTCTCAACCTGATATCTTGTTTTGAAACATAATAGTCATACTTTCCAGAAATAGTTCTATAATTAATAAATAAATAACCCCCAACACTTTGAGAAATTTTGCTAAAATAAAATCATGATGTTTATTACCATTTCTATTTGCAACAGGAAAAGCACTAGAAATTACACTGTGTCCTTTTCAAATGCACGGCATCAAAATCATAATTTCTCAAGTAATTGGTTATAGAAAATAAAATTCAGCTTTAAAATCCTAATATAACATTTAATACCACAGGCAGAGAAAATGTGGGAGATTTTTCTCCTCCATTAATAATAAGAAACCAGAAAACCAGTTTAAGTGATATCTAAAATTTATAAATTTTCAGTATGTATAAGCAATAAAGGATCAAAAGATTAATTAGAACAATTATGGGAAGAAAATACTAATTGTGTCTCTCCCAGGCTTCATTACAGTTAATTAAAATACCAGAGAATCAACAGGAATTCTCAGATACAATGTTGAATAACAGAATTGGGGCAAGCAATTCTTAGCCATCATTTTTATTTAATATACTCTACATGCACATGATGCAGGTAGGAAAAAGTTTATGAATTCATGCATTAAAGACAAGACAGACTGGTGCTACTGCCAAACGTGCACTGGGCCAATTAGGATGTTGCTCAAAGTTTCTCATTGTTTCCAGGAAATTAAGTGCAGAAGCAGAAACGTGTACTCATTCCCAAAGCAAGGTCTTCAGTTGGTTTCCTGAGCTTTCTTGGCATTCTGTTTTTCTTTGGCCTAGAAATTAAAGACAATATTTTACAAAATTTTAAAGTCTGTTTTAGATGCTATTATTAATCTAAAATGTGTCTAATCATTTTCAAGTTGAAAAATCTTTAAAGAAATCTAGGGAGCTACTGTATTCTACAAGGAGCATTTCAAAGAACTTCAGTATTTTTTTCCATACAATGTATCCATGTAAATAATATGTACATCCAACAAACAGCTGGTTTGAACAGGTCAAAATCATGATAACATACGTGTTATTAGTGTTAAAACATAGTATTCCTCGATAATTAAACAGCTGTCCTCTTCCCTCAAAAACAAAGTTTGCAGTTCTTCCTTATTTGGGGTTGGAATATATAATTAAAATTGCAATTAAGTATTTTTTAAAAACCATAATTACTCAATTTCATAAAGTCAGATTTACTCATGAGTGTTCAAAAAATATATTTATATTATATGTGCCCATTTCTCATTGAAGTAAAGTTTATAAAACATTTTCATTTCTGTATATTAGAGTTAGGATTAAATATTAGTTTAATATAACAGTGGTACTAAAGGATTACACATCTTTTTGTATCAATAAACTTTATTAATGATTTTTTTTTATTTTATTTTGATGGCTATATACAGAACACAAAGAGAGTTTCAGTGGCCTAGTGGTAAGGAGTTGTGTTCGCAACCCAGATGTGCACAGTAGGAATCCACCAGCTGCTTTGTGAGAGAAAGGATGGCAATCTCCTCTCTTGCAATTAACTGCCTCTGAAAACCACCTGGAGAATCAGCTATAGGTCAATTCTGACTCAAGTGGACAGTACATCCTAACAACATAAACATATACATAACAAAACAACAAAACTCAAACTCATTGTTGTAAGTTGGTTCTAACAGTCTTGTCAGATTTCTAAGCTTGTAAATATTAACAAGAGGATAATGCCCATCTTTTACTCAAGAAGCAACTAGTACATCTGAACCACTGGTTAGCAGTAAAACTTCCTACAGACTACGCCACCAAGAGCTCTTACACTATCTCAATTCCAGCATGGGCATTTCAGTGATATTGATTACCCAATCAACACATTATGTGAGTTTCTGTTTTCAGTGCTGAATTCACTTCTTCTAGGAATATACCTAGGTCTGGAATTGCTGTGTGCTACGGTAATCCAATGTTTATGATTTTACATTCCTGTCAGAAATGAAGGAAAGTTCTAGTCAACAACCTTGTCAACGTCTGCTCTTTCCTATTTTTTTTTTTAAATTACTGCCATTCTAATAGGGGCAAGGTGGTATCTCATTGCAACTTTGTTATGCATTTTCTAAGACAAATTCCATTGAACAACTTTTCATATTTTAAAAAAACTCACTGTCGTCAGAATCAACTTATAGCTGACCCTCCAGCAGGTTCTCGAGGCTGTAAATCTCATGGAAGGAGAATACCCCTCTTTCTCTCTCAAGCAGTTGGTGGATAAGAACCCCTAGTCACTAACTAGACCACCAGTGTCTTTTCATATACAGATAGTCTATTTTTTATTAAATAAAGTCCTTTGATGCACAAAAGCATTCATTACTATGAGGTCCCATTTAACTCTTTTGTCTTTTGCCACTTATGCATTTTATTTAAAATTAGTCCTGCAGCTATGTCTTAATATTTTCTTTTTAAGGGTTTGGTTTTATGAAAAGTAGAAAATATCTATTTTCAAATTTTACCAAGAAATTTGCTTTCTTTTTTAAAAACTTTTGGTCCTTTTCCTTGGTCTTATTTCATACTGTTTTTATACATTATATCATTTGAACCTCATAAAAATTATTCCAGTTTTAATGCAGTAATTATAATTTTACTCTTTCCCAGATGAAGAAATCAATCCTCCCAAATAATACTAAATTTGATCAAAGTCATGTGCAGTTAATAAATAGTAAAACTTCAATTAGAGGTCAAAAGATGCATGTCCTGGCGTGTGTCCCTCAATATATGTAAAAATAACCTTCGAATGCAGCCCAAGTTGGTAAAATGGCAGAGTTCCTAAATTTCTACAAAATCCCCAGATGATGCCAATTCTGTTGGTCCTTGGACCATATTTTGAGAAGAAAGATTTCGAGTACTAGACTAAAATGTTCTTACCATTAGGCCACGTGAATCAGAACGAAGTCAAGAAACTAGACTTTTGCTATCATTCTTTTTAAAAAATAATCTTGCTTCAGTTAGAAAAGGCTAGTATCAATCACCACAATTCTTTTTTTTTTTTTTTTTAATATTGTACTGGGCAATATAACTGCTATATAGTAGCATAATAAAATTGACTACTGTACCTTAAGAGTTAATAAATTTAAGAGCAAATGTGTAAATAATACGAACTGCTTGAAAATGTGTATTTAGTATGTCTACAATTTCTTACAAATTAATATAAAAGAACTTTGTTTTAAAATAATAAAAATTCCATTTTATTTCAACCATAATTGATAGAAAGTATGTATTTCTTCACTGATATAGATAGATATAATGGAATAATAAACAAGAATATATTTATTAATTTCCAATATAAACATGACAGGACACTAGAATGATCCAAGGCATAGCATTCATACAAGTATGAATCTGTACAATTCAAGTTAAAATTAAGAGTTAAATAATTATGCTCATTATTGAGTACTTATCGTGCATTTTATAAATTATTTCATCTCATCCTCAAGAACATGAAATACATGATTCTCAGTTTACAGATGAGAAAGTGGAGGCTGCTGGAAAGTAAGAGAAAGTGGTGGCTGCTGGAAAGTAAATAGCTTACCTAAAAGTGACACCTAGTAATACAGTGTATCTATGATTAAAATCTAGAGCCAGTGGTCTGTTGTCTTTATTTCAAGAGTGAGAGATACTGTATTTTGTAAAAGCATAGAAAAAACACACACTGAAAAAAATACTTTTTTCCTGATATATACCAATAAGTTGTTAAATTATTGACTCCAGTTCAGTAAGACTGTAATCACAGATCCAATGTACATATTTTGTGCATATTTGAATCACTGTATTCCCTTAGGCGAGTCAAAGACTTCACCTTTCATTTTTCTGTAAAATGAAATTATTTCCATGGTTTAAATGCATCCGTGTCATCACAAAATGTAGGCTACTATTCAACTACTCAGAAATCTGATGCTCGGCAGGCTTGGCACTTGGCACTACATCTGCAGCAGCTACATTTTTACTGCTTTGTTCCTTCTACTCTTGTTATCGTATTATCTCTTAGAATATTAAAATACTCCCATTTTAGACTATTCCTGGGATTTTCTTAGATGTATTACTATAACACTGTTAAAACAACTATCATTATTAAAGCCCTCCCTATAATATAAAACTATAAAGCCTAATCTTAATATTTATATACTTTCTAGCAGTTTTTCAATTGGCTTTATAATCTAACATGTAGATTTATCAGCAGAAAACAAGTATGATGCTGTTGCCTATGGACTGTCGAGTTGATCCTCCAGTGGGTTTTCAGAGGCAGTAAATTGCATATGAGGAGAATGCCCATCTTTCTTTCTCCCGGGGAGCAGCTCGCAGATGGGAACCTTTGGGTTAGCAGCACAACTCATTACCACTAAAGCCACTGGAGCTCACTACAAATACGGTAATTTATCTATTTTTCAAAATAAAATTAATAAACACAAACTGTAAAAAATAGTATGGTTACCTATTTTTCAAAATAAGATTAATAAAAACAAACCTGTGTTATTTGTACAGATTAAACACTTAATTTCAACCAAAGTATTAAAAAATTTTGTGGATATGAAATTTTAAGTGACTAAAGCTTTGGTGACATAGTCCATAGAGTTGCTCAGCTAACCCAAAAGGCGGTGCCTTTCTGGCAGTTAGAATCCACCAGAAGCTCTTTAGGGGAAACATGGGAAGTCTCTTCCTGTGTTATTTACAGCCTCACAAAAACCCATTGAAGGGTCAACTGTAAGTTGGTTAAAATTTGACAACAAAGAGTATTAGTACAAGTAAAATTACTTAGTCCTTGGGTGGTGTAAAAGTTTCATTTCTGAACTACTAATCTAAAGGTTGGCAGTTCAAACTCAGAGATGTCTTAGAAGTAAGGTCTGATAACCAAGGTCATCATAAGCCTCACACACATGGGGTCATCATGAGTAAAAACTGATTCAATGGCAAATAAAAACAATACAAAGCTATTATGTCCCTGGGTAATGTAAATGGTTAATGAATTTGGCCATTAGCAAGTGTATTGGATTTTGGTGGGGGTCCAACCAACAGCACTTCAGAAAACAGGCCTGGTGATCTACTGCTGAAAATCAATCACTAAATATCTATAAAGAGCACAGTTCTGTCCTGACACACATGGGGTCAGGTGTAACAGATCAGTACATAGCACTGTTTGCTGATCTGGAGGAAAATTAGCTGTTCTGTATGCACTTAAACCCCTCCCTGACTTTCCTGATCCAGTATAACAGATTCCGCACATACAAAATAAATAAGCCTATTTCAATAAGGTTTACATAATATTATTAATTAAAGAACCAACTTTAAAAAACATGCAAAAGCTAGGTCACCAACTACCATCTTAATAAAATGAACGCAAATAACAGCCCAAATTGTTGTTCTGCTAGGCATTCATAGACTGCCACCTTGTGTCCAAACTATATTCTTCCTAACAACATTCTCAAAAAAATCTAGAACTATAACCAAGTCAAACCCACTGCCAATGCAGCGGATTCCAACTCGGGGACCTGTAGGACAGAGTGAATTTGCCATAGGGTTTCCAAGCTGTGATCTTTATGAAAGCAGACTAGCTCATCTTTCTCTTGGGGAACAGTTGGTGGATTTGAACTACTGGACTTTTGCTTAGCTGCTGAATGTTTTGACCAGTGTCATAGCTCAAATAAGAGTGTACAAAAGAGAAATTTTCAAAGATCAAGATTTATAAATTTACAATTTCTCCAAAGACATTTTTCTGGTCCCTAACATTTATTTATATGTAAAACCTGGTATGGAAAGTCAGATGATTTAGTACTATTTTATATTATTATTATTTTATATATGTTAAATTAAAAAATCGTTTATATCATACAAACACCATCATGTCTAGGTACTCTGTTAAATAAGCACTCCAAGAACCATCAGATATTAAATGTTCACCTAAACTTAAAAATTGGTTTCTCGCCTTCCGCTGCGGCAGCCATCGACGTGCAGCAGCCATGGCAGTGCGCTACCCTATGGCCGTGGGCCTCAACAAGGGCCACAAAGTCAACAAGAACGTAAGCCAGCCGAGGCACAGCCGCCGCCGCGGGCGCCTCACCAAGCACACCAAGTTCGTGCGGGACATGATCCGGGAGGTGTGTGGCTTCGCACCCTATGAGCGACACGCCATGGAGCTGCTCAAGGTCTCCAAGGACAAGCGGACCCTCAAGTTCATCAAGAAAAGGGTGGGGACACACATCTGCGCCAAGAGGAAGCGAGAAGAACTCAGCAATGTCCTGGCCGCCATGGGGAAGGCAGCTGCCAAGAAGGACTGAATGTGCCCCACTGTCCCCCAAAGCCCATCTGATGTATTAAAGTGTAACCAACCAAAAAAAAAAAAAATTGGTTTCTCATTTTGGTCTTCTTATAAATTATTATCCTAAAAGAAAAATTTATGTGGCAAAGAAAACATTAAATAGTCTGATACAATTTTTGCATTTAATACTGAGTCAGGGGTATAACCTACATCTGGATGTGGGTATTAAAACATACAATAATTTCATTAACTCATATCAAATTTTAAAAAATGAGATAAAACAGCTATTTAAAAATGTATCTTTGTCACAACAACGGTCTTTGTTTCAGAACTCTCTGGTTCTTTGGTGGTAAGTATTTGTTCTGTCAATGTGAAGGTACACATTCAAATCTACCAGATGCTCCATGAGAGAAAGATGGGCAGTCTTCTCTCAAGCAATTTGAAAACGCATTGGAGGATCAGCTATGAGTTGGTTTCAACTAAACAGTACATAACAAGAATTACTGGGGTGGGGTCCTGGGCGGGGAGAGAAGTGCAGCAATGAATGCATGGAAATCCAAAATCTCTGTAAATGCTCATTAAAATTATTTTTTAAAAAAAAATAATTAGTATATGGTTATATCTCATTATACATTTATTTTGTATTTCTCTAATTATTAACAAATTAAATGTCTTTATGCTCATTGGTTATCTGTAAATCTTGTCTGATAAAGTTTCTTTTTAAATCTATTTTAATATTTAAAAAAACATATTTGTTACATATTTTGGGCAAAAGTCCTTCATCAGATACATGATTAAACATTATTTTTACCAAAAAAAATGAATCTTTGTTTATTATTCTTTAAAATTAGTTTTTATTCTATAAAAATAACAGTGGTTTAACCAAAGTGCTATTCAAGATGAAGTACCAGCTACATTTGAATCTCCTGGGAAATTTAAGATTCCTTTCTCCTATAGAGGAATATCTGGGAAGAGGCTAAGTAAACATATTTTAAAACACAACCAGAGGTACTCACTTTCAGAAATACTCAGAATGTAAACTTAAAACAGCTTAACTGCATTTCATTTATTCACTACTAAATGCCTTGAAATGTCTGTAGTAGTTGAGAGCTCTGGTGGTCTAGTGGTTAACAAGTTGTGCTGCAATTTCAAAAGCATGTGGTTCAAATCTACTAACTGTTCTGCAGAAGGGTGGGCAATCTTCCACCTGTGCAATTCTTTCTTTGTCTTTATCTTTATTTGTCTTCACTTTGGTGAAGTCTTTGATTCTCCTAAGGGAATACAGTGATTCAAATGCTCACAAAATATGTACATTAAATATGAGGAAAATCTGCTGAAGGTTAGTCAGCTATGTGTCAGTTTAGACTCAATGGGACACAACTGCCTAATGGTAAAGAGTTTAGCTAACAACCCAAAGACATACAGTTCAAATCCACCAGCTGCTCTGCCAGAGAAAGACAGGCCTCCAAAGATCAGCTAGAGGGTCAGTTATGAGTCTATTCCAACTCGACAACACCTAACACCATCAACACTGAAGGAAAAGATTCGTTGAAATGAGTTTTCTCTCAGTGGGAAAAGGATATTTGGCCAGGAATACTAAGTTCATTTCTTACTCAAAGCTATTAATGTTTGAAATTGTTGGGTGTTTTCCCTCTTGTCTCCCTAAATATCTATTCTTGTTATAAATATTATTTCTATTCACAATTTCCCTATATTAAAAATGCGGAAAAATATATTCTTTAATTTATTAAAATCTTGTTTCAGCTTAGAGAAAGAAAAGAATTTTCCTTCTTATTTCAATATAATCAAATCCAAACTGATTTGGGTTGAGTTCGTTTTGATTTGGGCCAACCCTATGTTACATAATAGAGCTATCCCATAGAGTCTCCACAGCTGTTGAGGCTTTATGGAAATGGTTCTTTCTCCGATGAAATAGCTAATCACATATCTGACGGTTACGAGCACTTAGCCACTGTGCCGTGCCACCATATGAGTTTATGATAATAATGATTGTGGAAGACTAAAGCAGTGAAACAATCTTTTATTTTTATTTTATAATATTTAGAATGAACTAATATCCATTTAAGGATAAAAACAGTAAGCAAAAGCAATAAGATGAAATAAGTTTAAAAGAATTTTACTCATGTCAGAAAAAGAAGTCTTGATTTTGGAAAATCTAAACCTAATTTAAATATTCACCAATAAAATACTTACCTTTTCTACTAGTGGTATTAATTGCTGATGTTCTGCTAAAGTCTTTAACAACTCCATAATGAAAGGAAGATAATTATGTTTCCGTCTGATATTTTCAATCTAAAAATAAAACAAAGATCAAACATGCTAAGTACACATTTCTGCGAACATTTCGAAATTTGTATATGATTCAAGATAGAACCTTACATTTTAATAAGAAAAATTAATTCTAAAAATTAAGAGTCAGTTTTCACAATGAATTGATATTGTTGTTACTTACCAGTGAGTTTATACCAAACCAAAGCTGATACTCTCGAGGGTTTTCAGGGACAGTAATGACTTGGGAGGAGACGGCCTATGTTCCTCTGGTGGAGCAGCTGGTGTATTTGTACTGATTGCCCTTAGGGTGCCAGTGAACTCCCTACCAATAGGCTACCAGAGGTGCCTCCACAGTGAATAGACTAATAAAGTATATGAAACAGTTTTTTGGACTTGGTTTCTAGCCTCAGTTTAGCAAATAATGTTGTTATTGATTGCCTTGGAGTTGAGCACAACTCATAGAGACCCCATCAACAAAAGGCCAAAAGCCCCTCTACAACAATCGACATTTATCAAAGTTCACAGAGTTTCTGGAGGCACGTCATATAGGAAGTGGATGCCACTTCTGCGTCCAATAGCAAGTAACAGGGGATCTCAAAAATGAAATCTGAAATTACTTGTTGTTGTTATGTGCCGTCGAGTCGCCTGCGACTCATAGCGACCCTACATACAACAGCCCTAAACTCCGCTCTGTCCTGTGCCAATAGCACTGTCTCTGACACTCTCATCCCAATTATCCCAGTCACTGAATCAATCCACCTCATAGAGGGCCTTCCTCTCCTGCGCTGTCCCCCCACCCTCCCAAGCATGATGTCCCTCTCTAAGGACCGGTCTCTCCTCACAACATGTCCAAAATACGTTAGAGGGAGCCTCAGAATCCTTGCCTCCAAGGAGCCACCCGGTTTAACCCTTTCCGGGAAAAATCTGTTTGTTTTCCTAGCAGTCCATGGTATTCTCAATACTCTTCTCCAGCACCACAGCTCAAAGGCATCAATTCTCCTTCTATCCTCCTTGGTCATTGTCCAACTCTCTAATGCATAACAAGTGACTGCGAAGAACATGGCCTGTATCAGACGCACCTTAGTCTCCAAAGAGATACCACTGCTCTTCAGCACTTTGGAGAGGTCCCTAACAGCAGACATTCCCATGGCAATGCACCTATTAATTTCTTGGCTGCTGGTGCCAACACTGTTGACTATGGAGCCAAGCAAACTAAAGCTGTGTACAATCTCAATCTCTTCACCATCCATCCTGATGCTGCCAATTGGTCCACTGGTGAGAATCTTTGTCTTCTTGACATTGAGCCTCAAACCATATTGTAGGCTGCAGTCCTTGACACTCTGCAGCAGGCGCTTCTGGTCCTCCTCAGTTTGTGTCATCTGCATAACGCAGATTGTTGATAAATCATCCACCAATCTTGACCCCACATTTCCCCTCATAGAGCCCAGCCTCCCGGATAATCTGTTCTGCATATAGGTTGAAAAGGTATGGAGATAGGATGCATCCCTGGCATATGCCCTTCCCAATTTGGACCATACAGTGTTCCCTTGCTCTGTTCTGACGACTGCCTCCTGGTCCAAGTATAAGTTTCGCATTAGAACCATCAAGTGTTCTGGGATTCCCATTCTTCTCAGAGTCAGCCACAGTTTGTTATGATCTACACAGTCAAATGCCTTTGCATAGTCAATGAAACACAGATAGACATTCCTCTGGTATTCCCTGTTTTCAGCCAAGATCCATCTAACATCAGCTACAATATCTCTAGTACCACGACCCCTTCTGAAACCAGCCTGGACTTCTGGTAGTTCTCTGTTGATGTGCTGTTCCAGTCGTTTTTGGATAATCTTCAGTAAAATCTTGCTTGCATGTGAAATCAGTGAGATTGTTCTGTAGTTTCCACTACATATTGATTACATATGTGGAAAGAACCACTGGAGAAGCTCAATATCAACTGTGAAAACTAGGCCAGGAGCTGAATGTGGAACAGACCACCAACTACTCATATGCAAATTCAAGCTGAAGCTGAGGAAAATTAAACCAAATCCAAGGCAACCAAAATATGACTTTGAGTCTATCCCACCTGAATTTCAGAACCATCTCAGGAACAGATTTGAGGCTTTGAACACTAATGAACGAAGGCTAGATGAGTTGTGGGAGGATATCAAGGGTATCATTCAGGAAGAGTGCAAACGGTCATTGCAAAGACAGAAGAGGAAGAAAAGACCAAAATGGATGTCAGAAGAGACTCTGAAAATTGCACTGGAGCGCAGAGAAGCCAAAGCACAGGGAAGAATTCAAGATACTAAAGAGTTGAATAGAAGATTTCAAAAGGCAGCATGGGATGACAAAGCAAAATATTACAATGAAATGTGCAAGGAGTTGGAGTCAGAAAACCAAAAGGGCGGAACTCGTTCAGCATATCTTAAGCTCAAGGAACTGAAGAACAAATTCAAACCTCGAGTTACTATAATCAAGGATGCTTTCGGCAGAATGTAAAATGATCCCAGAAGTATTAAAAGAAGATGGAAGGAATATACTGAGTCACTGTATCGAAAGGAATTGGAAGACACAAAATTTCATGAAACAACATATGAGCAAGAGCCTTATGGTGATGAAGGAAGAAGTTCAGGCTGCTTTGAAGAAAATGGCAAAAAATAAGGCTCCAGGAATAGATGGTATACCAATTGACATATTTCAGTTAACAGATGCTGCCCTGGACGTGCTCACCAAGTTGTGCCAAGAAATCTGGAGAACGACCACTTGGCCAACTGACTGGAAGAGATCGATATTTGTTCCTATCCCAAAGAAAGGTGACCCAACAGAATGTGGAAACTACAGAACAATCTCACTGATTTCACATGAAATTACTTACAAGACTTAATTTATGAAAGCAGATGCAAGAAGGCCCACATGATACAATTAACTTTCTTGCAGCATGCACAAAATCAGTGCAAGTCTTTTAAGACCAACTTTACTTTGCAACCAAGTTCAATCTTGCTTTGAGATTATTTATCAAGAGGGAAGAATGTAGGGACTACATGCTTCAACTGAAAACTATTCCTCTGGAGCACACCATTTCAAATTATTTGAGTTCAGCTTTTCATTTATGCAAAGCTATTTTAAAATACAATTATATAATAAAATAGAAATTATACAGAGGTAATATGAATGGAAAACAATTCTTGTCTAAAAACAAGCAGTATATTGCCAAATAATTCTTATTTGCAGGTGACTCCCATGACTATGCTCCTGAACTTCCAGGCACAACAGGGCTAAGAAATTCTCTTAATTCAGTTCTACCCCATTTGTTCTACTATACAAATGGCTCCATTCATAGCAAATACTAACACTTAGGGAGCTCTGGTGACCTAGTGGTAAGAAACTCCATTGCCATTTGAAAGGCACGTGTTTCAAAGCCACCTGCTGCTCCACACGTCAAGGATGGATGGGCAAGGTCCTCCACTACAATAAAACTGCCTCTGAAAACTCGCTAGAGAGTCAGCTATGAGTCAGTTCTGACTCAACAGTCAACAACAGTACTTATATAGAAATACCTATCAAACCTGTATGGCTGTGGGAATAGTGTAAGTATACTCTGTGGCTATCAACTTTTATCAATTTCAATTATATGAGAATTCCAGAGTAATGCAAGGCCTGCACTAGGATTTGACTATAACACCTTAAGCTGTGCAATGAATACTCTTCATGCACATAAAATGATCTATGTGGCCATAAGTTATCTATACACTGAGCCTGGACTTGAAATCACCCTACCCATAACTCAACTTGCAGCCAAACAATGTTGTTGCTAGGCTCTATCCACGAGACTGACTCATAGAAATTCTGTGTTCAATAGAAGGAAACACTGCCAGGTCCTATATATGGTGTAGACTATTTTATAAATGATGTTCACCGAGTTGTGCAATGCATTCTAGTATACTTGGACTAAAGCAACTTCTATGAGGATACCACACAACTTCAAATTGAGTTTATGGTTGTTGTTTTTATGTATTGTCAAGTCAGAAACAACGCATGGCTGACTCTCCCTCTGATGGGGTTTCAGAGTCAGTAAATCACACAGGAGGAGATTGTCCATATTTTTCCCTCAGGACAACTGGCAGATCCGAAACATGGGCCTTTGGGTTGGCAGCACATATCCGTAACACTAAGCCACCAGAGCTCCCCTATTGAACATAGAGATCTGAAGAGATATATGACATAGATTTGATTTATGGCATCTGTTGCATATAACAGAGTAAGAATGGCTCTCTTTGACTGGCATGTACTCAATCTTATATGAAGTCTATCAATGTCTCTATCAATTACTTCTGTTGTTGGTGTTGTTGTTAAGTGCCGTCGAGTCGTTTGCAACTCATAGCGACCCTATGTACAACAGCCCTAAACCCTGCTCTACCCTGTGCCAATCTCATTGCCTCTGACACACCCATCCCAATTACCCCAGTCACTGAATCAATCCACCTCATAGAAGGTCTTCCCCTCCTGCACTGTCCCTCCACTCTACCAAGCATGATGTCCCTCTCTAAAGACCTGTCTCTCCTTCCAACATGTCCAAAGTATGTCAGACGAAGCCCCAGAATCCTTGCCTCCAAGGAGCAGCCTGGTTTAACCCTCTCTAGGATGAATCTGTTTTCCTTGGCAGTCAATGGTACCTTCAATACTCTTCTCCAGCACCACAGCTCAAAGGTGTCAATTCTCCTTCTATCCTCCCTAGTCATTGTCCAACTCTCTGATGCATAACAAGTGATTGCAAAAACCATGGCCTGTATCAGACACACCTTAGTCTCCAGAGAGACACCGTTGCTCTTGAGTACTTTAGAGAAGTCCCTAACAGCAGACTTTCCCATCGCAATACGTTTTTTGATTTCCTGGCTACTGGTGCCAAGAGTGTTGACTGTGGAGCCGAGCAAACTGAAGCTGTGAACAATCTTAATCTCTTCACCATCCATCCTGATGCTACCGATTGGTCCAGTGGTGAGAATTTTTGTCTTCCTGACACTGAGCCTCAGTCCATACTGAAGGCTGCAGTCCTTGACCCTCTGCAGCAGACGCTTCAGGTCCTCCTCAGTTTCAGCGAGCAGGGTTGTGTCATCTGCATAACACAGATTGTTGATAGATCGTCCACCAATCCTAACGCCACGCGTCTCCTCATAAAGCCCAGCCTTTCGGATAATCTGCTCTGTACACAGGTTGAAAAGGTATGGAGACAGGACGCATCCCTGGCATACACCCTTTCCAATTTTAAACCATGCAGTGTTACCCTGCTCTGTTCTGACGACTGCCTCTTGGTCCAAGTATAGGTTTCGCATTAGCACGATTAAATGTTCTGGGATTCCCATTCTTCTCAGAGTCAGCCACAGTTTGTTATGATCCACGCAGTCAAATGCCTTTGCATAATCAATGAAACACAGATAGACATTCTTCTGGTATTCTCTGCTTTCAGCTAAGATCCATCTCACATCAGCTACAATATCCCTAGTACCACGACCCCTTCTAAACTCAGCCTGGACTTCTGGCAGAACTCTGCTGATGTACTGTTCCAGTCATTTTTGGATAATCTTCAGTAGAATCTTGCTTGCATGTGAAATCAATGATATTGTTCTGTAGTTTCCACATCTGAGAATATTAGGGATTCAGAAAATCCACTCTACAGACTTTGATATGAAAGGTAAGTCTCCATTATTAGTCATTTCAGTAATATGTGGACTAAATCTACTTTATTGTGGCCTTCAATTATGCCATGTTATCATATAATTAGTCCTGAATAATATGGTATATATTGTGATATTAATGGCACTCCTTCAGTTATATAGCAATCTGTAAATGGTATCACTATTCCAGTATCTCTCTATTCTGTTCTTTTCTAATTTTAGGTTTACTTCTCTAAATTATAGTTGGGTAAATTACCACCAAAACGAAGATAATCTTTCTCCTATTGTAGCAGACATGGACACATAATTAAATTTTAACCCAAATTTCTAAATTAAACTATGAAATTCCAGTATCTTTAATGTGAGGCAGATTCCCTTCTCCTCCTCTTTCCCACCTCTTCTTCCAAATTGGATGAGGCCGTGAATAATTAAGGTTAAAGCAGTCATCCTGGACCATGCAGTAAAAACAATGTGTACAATATAGTGGTGCAATCAAATAGAATGGGTGGGCCTGGACACCTAACACTCTGCAGTCGCTATGTCATTCCTGGACTCTTGCATTTGCTTTTTGAGAGATATTTTGTTTAATTTAATAAGACCCAATCAACCCTTCCAAATCTAATTCTGTTTCAAATTTATTTCAGTTAAAAACAATTCTTTTTACATAGAACAAGGTCATTTTAAAAACCAGTTGTTCAAAGACTAGAAATAAATGTTGAAGAAAATGCTTATAATCTCTGAAATAAAAGCATAAATTTTGGACAAACTATAATTCTCAATTAAGAAAAATTAGATAATAGTAAATATTAGTAATGGATCTAGATTTGTAATGGAAATCTTCTGAGATTCAAACAATTGTGTTCGGAAACCAAACAAAAGCAGTTATTGAAGTAGTTCTCACAACTAAAACTCTAAATATGGGATTAATTTTTACATTAAAAAAACTACAATAAGTATGCATACATATGGCAAACGTATATTTTCATATGAAAATAGTAATTAATAAATTTTGGAAATAACATACCTTATATCTTTTTAATTTTTGTACTTCTTCTTCAATAAGCATCTGATTTTTGGCAACCTCTGACTGAATAGCACTTAGCATATTACCCTGATCTGTATCCATGGGTTCCTCCTTAGGGATAAAAACAAAAAGTATACCCTCATGATTGTGGCTTAAGTCTGGAATGTTTGAAAAATAATAAAGAGCTTGAATATGTTCAAATTTTTACTCTTAGGTAATAGGTCATCATTCTAATGAAATCAACACTGAAGGATAAAAGCATTCAATAGCTAATTATTTCTGTTCTATGGAATAGCAAAAAGAATTTTCAGCTAAAACCAACCTGGATTATAATATACTATATTATTCTTTATAATCTCCTATCCAGCTGTAAAATAAATATGCCTAAGTATACTTGAGAAAAATATAATCAAAGGTAGATAAAAAAGGTTTTTGGCTATTAGTCATTTTTTATTTCAAGTATATTTACTCCAGGGAGATATTCAATCATAAAGAATAAATGATTGCCTGTGAATCTAACAGTATTCAATAAATATTTAGACAAACACGTTCTAATTTATTTAATTATATAATGAAATAATACATAGTTAACATACTTATTAACTGCTAATATTGTTACATGTCTGTCACTATATAGAGTTATTTGAATACAGTACATCATTTTACCTCACACTAACTTTCTGGATAAAAACTGTTATTCTCATCAAGGTGGGGGTAAGATTGAGAAAAACTGGATAAATTATGCATACTTCATTGAAGCCAATGAGGGAGAGAACAGTTTAAAAGTAATATATTTTAGGGCATTATGATTATAATCAGAGTTCAGAATGAGGGTGCCAGAGTGCAGTATACTCGAGGTAGGTATGTGGAGGTGTGGGGGGATTGTATACCAATGAAGGAGTTTTTTCTTTTGCTTTTCAAGAAGAGCGAACTGGGTGTGAGGGTGGGGTGGGCAGGGACAAAGTGCAACAATGAATGAATGGAAATCCAAAATCTCTGTAAATATTCATTGAAATTAATTTTTAAAAAAAAAGAGAGAGAGAGAAAAAAAAAACCCCACTGTTATTCTCATTTTACCTGATGAAACGGAAGTATTTTGCAAAACATCTAAATTTACAAATCCTATTAAGTGGCAAAGTCAGGAATTATATCTAGGCCATCTAACTCAAAAGTCTATAAACAACCACTCAGGATACTTGATATAATCCATACTTGAAAACAAACAAAAAGTTAAATACTTTTCCTGAGTGAGTAACTAAGCTAGAAGTTTCTACTTAAAAGCATGGCTTCAAACCTCTGCAAGTTGTCTTTGTAACTCTGCTATCTTCTGTTCATATATCATTTTTCTGTCCGATACAATTGCCATTAAATTAAATCGAATTTCACCTTCACTGTACCTTAAAAAAAAAAAAAAAGATATTTTTAAGTTTAAAAAAAAAAAAATTATAAAACCATAGCCCAAAACAATCATTGCCTATGGCGAGTTATGCTGCTAAGCCAAAAGCTGAATGAACCTCTTTGGTGGTTCAAATAAACCAGCTAGAGAGGGGATAGACGCTCTTCCCATGCTATTTACAGTCTAAGAAACCTAATGGTGGGTCAGCTGTTAGTTGGATCCAACTTCATGGCAATGACTTAAAGATTTTATTGTTACAGTCCATAATATTCTGGTATATATAAATCAATTTGGCTAAGAATAATAATTTTTAGAAATCTTTTCATATTTGATACAGCAAACCTTCAGGGGGAAAGTAGCCATATTTAATTGATTACAAATACTTTAAATTTCTAAAATAATTTTAATTATTCCTAAAACTTAAGAAATACAAGTATTTCCAACTATTTCCCTATATTTATAAGAAATAAGGTAAATATCATTTACTTAAGATGTCGGGAAAATAAATAGTTTATTTTATTGGACTAATTATAATGTTATCTTGATGAAAACTAATTTTGTTCCTTTATTATACATTTTTCCAAGTCATGATTACTGTCTAGTTATATTCAAAGTAAAAAAATAAATAAATAAACAAAATCAAAATTGTTGCTGCTGCATCAAAACTAACTCATAGCTGATCTCCAAGCAAATTTTTGGAGACTGTAAATTGAACAGGAGACTGTCCACTTTTATCTCACAGAGCAGCTAGTGAATACGACCTGCCGGAGAAGCATGACCTAGCAGTGCAGCTCTATAAGGACTCTGCCACCAGAACTCCTTCTATTTTAATTAGCATTGTTTTATGCCATATGCGGCTGTAACCTGTAATAAAATTTCTGAATGTTATATCTTCACTACTTAGGTATTTACAAGAGAACTTTGGTGGCATAGTCCATAGCATGTTGCATTGCGAGTCCAAAGTGTTCAACTGTCTATGTTGAGTGAAAAAAACCAAAAACAAAGGACTAAATATTATATAATCCCATTTCTATAATAATCTTTGACAAAAATTTATATAATGTTCTTTGGCACAAATTATACATGATTATAACTAGAAAATAGATTAGTCATTGTCAGGGATTAAAGATAGGGGTATTAAGAAGTATAGGGATGAATTTATAGCTATTAAAAGACAATCAGAAGAATTTTTGTAGTGATGGAATTTCTCTTTATCTTGATCATATCAATATCCTAGCAATGACTGATAATCAATACACATAAACTATAGTTCTGGAAAATTTTACCAGTGTAGAAAATTTGGCACAAAGTATGCAGATGTCTCTATGTTACATAATTAAGACAAAAATAAAAATTTTCATTTTAAAAAAGTGAATTAATAATACTGTGAAACAAAATGCATACAAACTTCGTAAGCAAATCAATACAAATTTTTTTAAAGTTTAAAAATGCAACAACCCTCAGTTCAAATAGCATGACAAAGTATCTGAACAAATGACTAATGTAATAGAGATCTGCATGTTTAATTTCTCTAAAGACAAGCTCTCAAATCAAGAATATTGAGTTTTCTAAAAAAAATTAAAGAAAAAGAATATTGAGTTTTCTAAAATAGAAATAAATACATTACTCCTGAATACATTAATACTTAACTGAATCAGTAGGCATTGCCTTAAAAAAAAAAAGTATAAAATGCTTTAAAGCAATACTGTTACATTAGTGAGGTTAGCTGAGCATTTACTTTTGGATCCGTTTTTCTATAACTGGCCTCACTGCGCTTATCCAGTCATCTTGATTGCAAGCCCCTAGAAAGAAATTTAAAAACACCAACAAAAATTTAAAAATCAATAAATCACCAATAGTTAGGCTCAAAAGATCTTTTATAAATATTTTGGCAAATTAAGATCAGGAAAAATATTTTTAGCATACTATATTAAGCCTCAACTCTAAGTTTATTGGTAAGGGTAAAGGGCAAGAGTATTGTCATAATTTGGACTGCCAAGGTATTATGTTACTTAGTAGATGCAGAACAAATGTCTGAGGAAATATTAAGTTAGGAGTTATCTCATTTAAACTTACAAATCTGAGAGACAATCACAATTACCTTCATGGTACAAATGATGAAACTAAGAGTTAAGATAAAAGCAGCCCACCGTGTTAGTAAGAAAACAAGAATACAACTCTGTCTGATTCCTACCTTGATAATTAATTCTTTTTAAAAAGTTAAAAAGTTTAAACCCATGCGGAAAGTGTTTGGGGGAAAAACCCAACTAACTGTTCCTATTATTAGTATGGCTAAGGTAGCAAAGCTCAGTATTTTATTTCCACTTAAATTTCTATTTGGTATTGCCAATGAAAAGAAAATAGCTAACCAGATAAGTCAATAGAGAAAGTGTAAAATCAAATCAACCACCATTCCAGAGAAAATATGAACCTGAGTCTAACTCACTAAATTAAAAAAACCATCTCAAGAATAGTTTGAGACACTGAACAATAATGACAAGATGACCTGATGAGTTATGAAGTGATAGCAAGGATATCATCCACAAAGGAAGTAAAAGGCTATTAAAGGCAGGGGAAAAAAAAGAAGTCAGAAGAGATTCTGAAAATTGCACTAGAACAACAAGAATTCAAAACATAAGAGAGAACAAAATAAAAGCACTGAACAGAAGATCTCCAAGGGCATCTTCAGAAGACAAAGTATTAGAATGAAATGTACAAAGAGCTAGAGTCAGAAAACAAAAAGGGAAGAATTGCTCACTATTTCTCAAGATCAAAAAACTGAAGAACAAATTCAAGCCTTGAGTTGTAATAATGAAGGATGCCATGGGCAAAGTCTTGAATGAGCCAGGAAGAATCAAAAGAAGATGGAAGGAATATATAGTCATCAAGAAGTGACCGACACAGTATCATTTTACATAGTAGCATATGATCCAGAACCAATAATAATGAAGACGTTGAAGCTGCACTGAAGGCACTGGCAAAACTCAAAGCCTCAGGAATTAATGAAAACTAATTGTCATGTTCCAATGAACAGATGAAACCTTGCAAATGCTCACCAGGCTATGCCGAAATCAAGAAGACAGTTACCTAGCCAACTGACTTGGAAGAGATTCTTATTTGTCCCCATTCCCCAAAAAAAGGATCACCCAACAGAATGTGGAAACTATCAAACAATAGTAAAATAGTACTGAAGATTATTCAAAACAGAACAGTACACCAACAGAGAACTGCTAGAAATACAAGCTGGATTTGGAAGAGGCTATGGCACCAGGGATATTATTCTTGATGTCAGATGAATCTTGGCAGAAAGCAAGGACTATCAGAAGGATGTCTATCTGTGTTTTATTGAATATGTGGCTTTTGACTACGTGGATCATAAAGAACTATGGTTAACCTTGAGTAGAATGAGAATCCCAGGGCACATAATTGTGCTCATGCAAACAAGAAACTTTTCTGAATTGAGCAAGAGAACACTGAATGGTTTAAAATCAAGAAAGGTATATGTCAGGAATACATCCTACCTCCCTACCTACTGTATCTGTATGCTAAACAAATCCTGTAAGAAACTGGACTTTAAGAAGTATGTGGCATCAGGATTGTAGGAAGTCTCATCAAAAACCTGTGTTATGCAGCTGAAACAACCTTGCTTGCTGAAAATTGAGCACACCTACAGCCTTCAATATGGATTACATCTCAACACCAAGAAGACAAAAGTCCTTACTACTGGGTAATAGGCAACATCATAATAAATAGATGGAAAAAAAGATTGCCAATGATTTCATCTTACTTCGATCCACAATCAGTATCTTTCATATCAGGAGTCAAGAACTCAAAAGACACATTACATTTGGAAAATCTGTCATCAGGCCCCCTTGCCAAAGAGCAAAGACACTAGTTTCAAGAATAAGGTACACCTGATCCAAGCCATCTTGCTTGTTATGCATCTCAAAGTTGGACAACAACTAAGGATGACGAGAGAAGAGTCGATGCCTTTGAGTTGTAGTGTTGGAGAATATTACTGATTATCCCATGGATTGCCAAAAGAACAAACAAGCATGTCTTGGGTAAAGTGCAAACAGGGTGCTCACTGGAAGGAAAGATTGTGAAGCTTTGTCTCACATACTTTGGTATACTGTTATGAGGAGCTGGTTCTTGGAGAAGGACATCATCCTTTGAAAGGTGGAGGGTCAGTGTAGGAGAGGAAGACCCTCAACAAGATGGACTGACATGTTGACAGTAACAATGGGCACAAACATATCAGAGATGAGGATGGCACAGAATAGGATGGGTACAGATTTGTTTATAGAGTGACTGTAAGTTGCAGTCAACCCAACAGTAAATAACAAAGTGAAAGATCATTTTCCTTAACAAATATAGAAAAATACTTTTTTCATAGAATATGTAAATATACATTATATAAACTGTAGTGAATTATAATGTGGAACACAATTACAAAGTAGAAACAAAATGAGTCTATGCTAACTTTTTTCAATCTAGAAGTATGAAGCTTTATGAACAGAACAGTAGATTCAATTAAAGCAAGTGTTACAAAACTTTACAAGCAAATCTAAATTAAAATGTTAAAGGTCTAAATTAAAATAAGAAATTACTATCAATATAAGTAGTTAAAAATTCTTCTGCAGATTATTTCAGTGCTATTCAGAACCAGACTATACTCCTAACCTTGATAACTATTTATTACTTTTGCTCAAGGTAAGAGACAGGGTGGGCCAAAAGGAATTTACCCTTTGGCTCACAGGACAGAACATGAACACACTATGTAAACAGAAACTCTGAAGAAAAATGTCTCGTCAACATTTAGTACTCAATTAAAATGATTCTGAATGATCCAAGTCTTCTCTTTTTCTAATTTTTAAAAATAAACATTTCCATATAAGATGATTATAAGAAATAATTCTTAGCTGTTATCAATAGGTTAAAGATCACAAAAAATATTTTTAAGGTCATTATAAATAGTTATTAATTGAAAAAATGTTGTACAATTTTTAAAAAGTTATGTAATAAAAAAGTGTGTGTTACATAATTGATTTGCTGCCATGGAGTCAGATTCAACCTATAGTTGACCCTCCACTGGGTTTCTGAGACTATAAATTTTAATCGGAGGACACTGTCCATCTTTCTGCAATAGAGACACTAGTGGATTCCAACTGCCAGAAGCACAGTCTTTAGGTTAACAGTACAACTCTTCATGTACTATAGAACAATAGCTCTCTATAGTGAGTTAAAAAAAACATAATTTCTCTTAGGAAAAAATAAAAGTCTCCTACTGAACCACAGTAATCAGCATGCCCTTCATATGTGATATTTCATTACATACAGTTGAGGTGCCTGAGGCCTCCGTGATATCCATTACCTCACAGTAACTTTTTCCTCCAAAATTTAAGCAGCACTGTGACTAAAATGAAGGGAAACCACCTTACCTTATTTATCATAAGTGAAATACCATGACATTAGATCAATTTTGTTACATTTTAAATTTATTACATGGATAGCACAGAGGAATGAGATTACCTAAATCAATAGGTCCTTCTCTTAATCCATCTAATTCATACAGCCTTCCATTAACAGGAACATAACTGACAAAGTGAAAAGCATCTTCTTCTTTTGCTGATGTTTTTGCATCAAATTCAAACATCTGCTGTCTACAGTGAAGGAAAAAATAGTGAGAAACAGAGAAGCAAAGAAATCAGTAGTACTGGTATTGACTTGGACCACAAATCATGCCAACTGCAGACACAAAAAAACCTGACTGCTGTGAGCTACATAGAAGTTTCTCACTTCTGATACTTGAAAGTAAGTCATCAGGTCTGTTTCTAGATGCTTTGCTGATATGTCCAGCATCAGTGATGTCATTATCATGACATCATTATGTCACTGTGAGTCTCCAGTGACAGATGGGCAGTCACTGACTTGAGGTGCACTAGCCAAGAATCGAACCCAGATCTCTCAAAGGGTAGGAGAAAATTCTACCACCAAATATCCAATGCCCATAAAAACAATATTTATTTAATGTAAAGTTTCTTTACCTGGCAAAACTGTTATGAACTTGTCGAATCACATCTGAATTGCTGAGTGCCAAACCCTTCATCTATAATAATTTTTAAAAGCAGAAATCATTAATTAAGAACTATCACAAATAGGACATCTGAGGACAAAGAAGACCGTACTCACAGCTGCATCGAAACTTTGAGAAAATTCTTTAAATTCCGATAAAGTCTCTCCTAAATGGACATCTTGATGTGTACAGTTTAATAGCACACTTACTATGGCTTGAGTAGCACAAGCATTATTAATTACCTAAAAAACACAAAACAAAGTTATTAGTAACCTACTTCAAAATTGCCGCTTTTCAACTAGCAACAGTGACCTCAAAAAATAAATTAAAATGGGTTTAAATTTTATTATATATAGTTTTGGTATAAACACAGTAAGCTTATGTTTAATTTGTATTCTAGATTATTCCTAGTGATCTGCTGTAATTCTAGAGTTGAAGATTCTAAAAAACCAAACAAATTAATGACATGAAAGTATACCAATGTAGTTAGGTAACCCAGCCAATTTTCCCAAAAATGAAATGTAGCCAACAGACCTTATCCTCATCTCCCCTTTACTTCCCCTAAATTCATACCTACCTAAGTATAACTCATATTTCATAATCAGTACAAGCTTTAACTCTTGAATTTTGGAGAAATTTTCCCAACAATACATATTCATTTGTACTTTTACTTAAATTCTTAGAAATAGTACATGTTGTCTACATTTTTTCATTTTATAACCTTTAGAATGTTGTTAAATGTTCAATTTACAAATTATACGAGCTTACATTTTAGTCAGAGAAATATTTAGAAAGCACATAGTATGTTCCAGATACTTTTCCAGGCACTTCACAGGCTTTAATTCCTTTAAACTTTTCAACAACTTATGAAGAGGTGTATATCCTTATCCTCATTTTACATTTGCCAAAACTGAGGCACCAAGAGTATACAGCTACACAAGGTTATACATAGAGGTATACAGCTATGTAGGCAGGCAGATTGGTTCTAGAATTTGTGCACTTACCCCTACGCTACAGGCTGGCTCTGTAAACATATGTGGTCATCTACAAAGATTATAGGACAGTTATGACAAGGACTTCTTCCATACTCCTTTGAAAGACTAAGATCACAGAGTTGAAAAGAACCTCAGGAATGATCAGTGTGGATGCACATTAGGTTAATTGCAGAAGTGAACTAAATTTGGTAAATGGCTTTAAGAATGCAGCTTAGTCCTACTACTACTACACGGTGTTTACTATCATTAAATACCATTTTCTAGTTAGAATCTTTGCCACAATGCTATTGGTAGCTTATTCCTTTTATATTTGAGTGTATTTCTCTATTTTTAACTTCATTGATTCAGAAGAAAAAAACATAAATTATCTACCTTCTATGATTCTAATAGGGAGCTCTGGTGGCTACAGGAAATGATACTAATTCAAAGGCCATGTCTGTGGCCCTGCAAATCCACCAGTGGCTTCATGGTTTCAGATGAACAAGGTTTTAAATCCTTATAGACAGAAACTGCCTATCTGCTCATATTTATCTTGAAGACCAGCTGGTGAATTTGGATTTCCCGCCTTGTAACACACTTGCAGCCCAACATGTAACACACTATACCAAGAGGAATCCCTAGTTTTTATAGCTTTTTACTTTTCAGGTTGCCAAGACTTTTGAGACTTTGCGAACATTCGCCTTTAACATAGTATGTCTGAGAAATGCCTTGATGAGACTATGTTCTCTTCTTGGGAATATTCCTGCCCTCAGTTATCAAACATACTAATACTACTCTATTTCTGTAATTGTTCTCTGAAAGCATTTATCTGCAAAATTGTTTCATTGATGAATTAGGAAAAGCAGATCTAGACTAGATACAATAATTTTTATTATGATTTGAATTACAGTTCTTTTGTAAATCTGAGTGAATAAAATTAATGACTAAAGGAGATTCCAATGCTTCTTTGTCTTAGGCTGAACTTAACATAGAGTAAAATTACCTTACGTTAAAGAAAATAGAGTAAGATCTGGGAGAAGTTAAAATATCTAAGTATTCACATATTCTTTCAACATCACAAAACATTAAATATGTGTTCAATGCTGGACTAGGTATTGCATCTACTGCAGAGAATATTACTAAAGACTCCATGATAATGATGTCAAATCTCTCTTATCCATATTTTATGAGAATTTTTATCAAAGCTTTATTTTTAAATTCCCATGGTTTTTAATTTTTCTTTTTATATCCATGATACATTACAGCTCATTATTTTCTAAGTATAAATTAATAAGTGTGGAGAGCACGGACAGAAAAAAAATGCCTTTTGGGATTTTAAAATTAGTTTAGTGCCACCAAGTGGCAATGCTAAGTATGTACAAAATTACTGGAAATTAAAAGCATGCAGTCATACATTCACTTTCATTGTAAACTGTGCATTGTCTGTGTGTGTTAAAGAGCCTACTTAGCATCAAAACAGATATTCATCCTACAATGAACAAGAAAGAGCATGTTCTTCCTGTTTAATGAAACTCTTAAAAATTCTAGAGACCCTGAATAAGCAAAGCACTTCTGAGAAACAAAAATGAAGTGAGAAGTATAGCATATTCTGATCTCAAAACCTACAACAAAGCTTTAATAACCAAAACAGCATAGTATTGGTACAATGGTAGTCACATAAACCAATGAAACAAAATCGAGAACCCAGAAATTAACCTATCTACCTCTAGACAACTGGTATTTAAGAAAGAAAAAACCCCTATCAAATGGGGACATGACACCCTCTTCAAAAATCATGCTGGCAAAACCAGACTGCTACCTGCAGAAATCTGAAGCAGGATCTACATTTTATACTATACACAAAAATTAACTCAAGATAGATCAGAGACCTTGGAGAAAAGCCCCAAACCATAAAGATTATAAGAGACACAATGGAACCAAACTTAGAAGGATTAGCCTATAGTACAAGTTGACTGGCAAATACAGCTAGGTATCCACAACCAGGAGAGGATAATATTGATGAATGGGACCTTCTGACAATTAAGTCCTTGTGTGCATCAAAACCTTTTTCCAATAGGGTGAAAGGAAAAAATATTTGGATAGGGAGCTCTGGAGGCCTAGTGGCAAGAAGCTGCTCAGCAATCTTGGAGGTATATCGTTCGAGGCCACCAGCTATTCCCCAAGAGAAAGCTAGGCAATCTCCTCCCTTGCAATTACCTGCCTCTGAAAACCTGCTGGAAAGTCAGCAATGGGTCGGTTCCAACTTTACAGTATATGACAACAATGCCATTTCAGCCAACGGTCTCATAATAAAAGTTTATAGATTATAGGGCCTCCACAAAACTGATTAACACAATTACAAAATAGGCAGAAGACATGGAAAGACTTTTCACAGAGAAAAACACTCGGGTGGCCAAAAGACACATGATGAAATGCTCAAAATCAACGATCATAAGAGAGATGCAAATAAAAACCACAATGAAATACCATCCCACCACAATAGCAGTGGCAAAGTTTAACACGACACAGTAAGCTATAGATGCTGGAAAGGATATGGAGGGATTAGAACACTCATACAATGTTGGTAGAGTTGTAAAATGGTACTCTGGAAGGCAATTTTGTAGTTCCTCAAAAAGCTGAACACAGAAATTCTGTGTAACCCAGCTATTCAACTGCTAGAAATATACCCCAAGGAAATTAGAACTGAGACACAAATGGAGATTTGTACACCAATTTTCACAGCAGCATTATTCACAATAGCAAGAACATGGAAACAGCCTAAATATCAATCAAAATACAAATGGATTGAGAAATTGTGGTACATTCAAAAGATGTAATACTATGCAGCACTCAGTAGCAACGATTTTGAAAAATACTATATAACATGGGAAAGGCTAAAGATTATTTCGCTGAGTTAACTCGATCTAATGACAAGTACAATGTAAAACCATCATTATAAAAATAGAAGGATAACTAGTAATATATGTATTAAAAAGTTCAAAGGAGGAAGGGAAGTGAGGGGATGGAGGGGGAGAAAATCAGTCACAACATTTGATTAGCGAAAGGAGGAGGTGACAGAATTAGGAAGGATCCAGAGGGGACCTTAAAAGATGGGGTAACAAAAAAAAAATTTAAAAAAAATGGGGTAACAGTCAGCTTATTAATGGTAACTGGTTTCATCAAACTCAATGTATGACATAAAATGTGAATAAAGAAATGTGTGAAACACATTTGTATAATATTAATGAAACACAATGTATATTAATTCTGTATGCAAACCAACATAAAATTTAAAAAGATATATATCCTATTAAAAAAGTGACAGCAAAAAACCCCCTCAGCTCTTATCTTTTATCAACTTGGAAAAGTATTATTTTAACTTATACCACAAATAGTAATAAAAATATAAAGTTAATGAAACGTAATAGAAAAAGGAACTAAACTGTGGCTCCTAAAGGAAGCAAACTCACTGTTACTAATTTCATTTCAATTCACAACCACCATACAAGACACATTAGAACCGCCTATATGGTTGCTAAGTTTATAAAACTTTACAGAAGCAGGCTACCATATCTCTCTCATGGAGCAGCTGGTGGGTTTAAACCACTGACCTATCAGTTAGCAGTCAAGCACTTTAACCACTGTGCCCAAAGATTATTTGCTAATGGGAATAATAAATAAGATGAATACCCTGCTCATAAAGAACGCATACATCAGAAAGAAAGTCAAGTGAGCTCTGCTAGCCTAGTGGCAAGAAGCTAAACTACAATCCAGAAGGCTCGCAGTTCAAATCCACCAGCTGGAGGGACAATCTTCTGTGTCAGTCAGATCCGATTTGATGGTACGCAATAATAACAACAGCAGCAACAAAGACAAAACAGTGAAGGGATGTTGTTGTTGTTACTGTTGTTAGGTGCCGTTGAGTATGACTCATAGTGATTCTATTAACAGCAGACTTAAACCCTGTACTATCCTGTCCCGTCCTCACATTTCCTGAAACAAAAGAGCCCACTGTGGCAGTCACTGAATTAATCCACCTGGTCAAGGGTCTTCTTCTCAACCCTCCACCCTTCCTAGTGTCACGTCCTTCTCCAAGGAATAGCTCCTCCTAGCAACATGCCCAAAGTATGTGAAGTGAAGCCTCATCATTCTTGTCTCCAAAGGGCACTCTGGCTACACCCTCTCAATGAAGGGATACTGGATATAAAAATGTTATACTAGAATATCAGAGAAGCTTCCCTATGAATATTAAACTTCAACAGGGATCT